CATTCGATTCATTCTGCGGCCACCGGCTTCTATGATATTATTGTAGACATCTCGAAAAGCTTCTTCCACCCACTCGGTCGGATTGCGACCTTCAGGCACAAGGTTAATTCTAAACTCCATCACATATGTGTCGAGTTTGAAACGAGGGAGCCTCTCGCGTGATCTTCGTATTGTTCTCAGAGCTGACGGTGGGCCCTCTTCATTTCGGCCAAATTGAGCATCTGAAATTGAATTTATTTTTAATGGTAAGAATATTTTTAGAAACAAATATTCATTATTATTAACATATAATGTGATACTCACCATTGTGTTGATCTACTAAATCTAGATTGAAGTCTTCAATGGCTTTGAGAGCCTCAGGATCATTCATCACATTTTTACCACCACCATATTGAATATCAAACAACTCGGGATTAAAACTCTCGAATAAATCCTCATCAAAATTATCTTCAATTTCAAAATCACTCAATAAGTCCAGATTAAAATTATTTATCCAATCAAAATCGCACTCCAGAGGTGGGGCATTTCCTCTAGAAGCACCACTAGGCCCTGGTAAATCGTTTGGGTCCGTCATTCCGAAAAACTTTTAGGAAACTGTGGCTAAGTGAGAAAAAAATCAGCCTATATTTGAAAAAGTCAGTGTCCTACTATTGGCCATGGGGGGACAAGTGTATATCTCCAGTATTTTACCTGTACACGCCTACGCGTATTGCCCGTGACCAATGAGGTAATAGCAAAGACAAGTCGCTCTGGAAGCGGCTGTGTTCGCAAGTCGCTCGGAGAAAAGAGTACTGCCTTATTACATGCGCTCATTCACGCTCCTCCTAGGTTACGACAAGCAATAATAAAACACACTAATAAAGATTTGATTCGCTGCATTTGTGAGTGTGCTCTGAATTTGCTACACGGAAATATTCGGNGACAAGTCGCTCTGGAAGCGGCTGTGTTCGCAAGTCGCTCGGAGAAAAGAGTACTGCCTTATTACATGCGCTCATTCACGCTCCTCCTAGGTTACGACAAGCAATAATAAAACACACTAATAAAGATTTGATTCGCTGCATTTGTGAGTGTGCTCTGAATTTGCTACACGGAAATATTCGGTTGAAAACTTGCGAAAAGTCAAAATTGTGCAAACATAAAAAACTTTTGAGGAAGTTGGCTGATAAAAATCAGAGTTTATCCAGCAAGAAAAAAATCATCAATCAGAAAGGCGGTGCCTTTTTACCCATGTTATTGGGGCCGCTTATAAGTGCGCTCATCTCAGCAGTTGTATAGCGATGGAGCATGCACGAAAAATGATACTTGTGCCAGAAGATAGTGTGGAAAGGCTAAAAAAAAATTCTACACATGATGCTCACCGTGTTTTAACTGAATTAGTTGAAGAAATTCAGCCGTCAGCTCAAACCCCTGGTACCGTTACAAGTCGATTGGATGCTCAATTACTGAAAATTTTAAATTCGAAAAAACCCAAGGACGATCATGAAAAATAGAAATTGTATAATGACGTTCTGAGAACGTATTTGTTTTATACACAGCAGAGTGAAGTACCTGTGCAAGAAACGGAGACCCCCGACGAGACGGGGTCTAGCGAATGATACGCTCCAAATACTATTGTGGCTACTGTACCTGCAGTATACCAAAGAAAAGCCTCAGGTATACTTGAATATATAGAAGCCGTTGACACTAGTAAAAGACTCAAATGGGATGCAAAAGGACAAGTGACTTTGGATGAGACATCATTAACTGGCGTTAATATTGTGGATCTGATACAAGATGTGGTCAGAGCACAGAAAACATATTCAGCTAAAGGATGGGAACATTTTGCGATGTATCTTCAAAATCTAAACACCTCTCGGGAGTTTCTGGGCAATCCTAAATTTCATCGACCCCCACCTGCACTACCAGTTATTAAACGTCGAAAAGAACCTGAAATTTCGGAGGACGAGGACTTTATAGATGAGCGTCATACAGGAAAAGGTGATACACCCCGTACCTCTGTTGTACATCGTACGCGTAAAAACTTGAAAAAAGCACACATAAACCCTCCTTACAAAGTGGAGGACTCAGGACTATCATCATGGCTTCCGTTTAAATGAAGAAAAACTATCGAGGACATATTTTAGTCCTCCACAGCCGGAGTCATTATACGGGGGCTAGAAATATTTTGTCAAAGCACAAAAAAGAAATACCTGAAAATGAAATAAAAAACTGGCTTAATGCCCATAATACTTATACACTCCACAGACCCATCAGACGTAAATTTCCACGGTTACGTTATACAGCGACAAATATTGATGATGTATAGGAGGCTGATTTGGTTGAGTTGAAATCACTAAAGACATACAATGATGGTATTTCATATTTACTTGTGGTCATTTACGTTTTAAGCAAGTTTGCCTGAGTTGAACCATTGAAGGACAAGTCGGCACCGCAGGTACTCGAGGGCTTTAAACGTATAATGGGAAGGATCGGTGGTCGTGTTCCTGTTTGTATACAAACTGACAAGGGAAAAGAATTTATGGCTAGCAGTGTCCAAAAATTTTTCTCTGATTAAAAAATTCAATTTCGTGTTGCGCGTAATCCTGATATAAAAGCCGCAATCGTGGAACGTTTCAATCGGACATTGAAGGAGCGCATGTGGCGTTACTTTACGCATAGTCGAACATATAAATATATGGATGTGTTGGAATAAATTGTCGACTCTTATAACAACTCGAGACATTCGTCAATAAAAATGGCACCTGCGGCTGTTAATATCGATAATGCTCCATATGCATGGCGTAATACACAAAATCGGTACAAGTCGGAGAAATCTCATAAAGAAACCTTTAAATACAAAGTTGGGGACTATGTGCGCATCAGTCGAGCGAAAGGCATCTTTGAGAAAGGATATGAGACTAATTGGAGTAAAGAAATATTCAAAATAACAAAAGCAGTCCTCAAACAATCATTACCAATATACGAGCTGAACGATTTAGCTGATGAACAAATTGAAGGATTGTGAAGTGAAACTTCTTTACCGAGGGTACCGAAAAATTTCAAGCGTCACGAAAAGTGAAAGGTTTTGAGGGGCGGGCGATATCTGAGTGGTGGGGGAGAAGCGGAGAGGTATCGTTTGCGAACGAACAGAAAATTTCAAGTGACACGAATTGTGAAAGGTTTGAGGGGAACGTGGAATTTGAGTGGTGGGGGAATATCGATCGAAATGACGGCCGGGGAGATTAGCCACGGCGTGGCGGGCACCGAAAATTTTCAGCGTGACACGAAAAGTGAAAGGCTGTGTCTATGAATTGTGTGGCCGGTACTGGCGACGCGCGGGACGGCTCGAGGGGAGCGAAACTCCGTTGCGTTGCTGGGGTGGAGGAAAGTGACGTGGCACTGGCGCAGTCATCTTTCAGTTTTCGTGACGCTCGGTGTAAATGCGAACATCCAGTTATTATTCGCTGTGTTGATCACGCATACAATATCAAAATCCTTTGGATGCTCATTTATATGAATTGTTTCGAATAAAATTATTCAAAAAGCGAAGTAAATATTTAAAGTGTATTATGTGCGTGAATAGATACTTCCAAAAATTTAGTTGTAGAGTACAGTGCAAATGTGCAGGAGAAAAAAACATTTTCGTGGAGTAGACAGTGTGTACAGATACTTTTAACAATTTGAATTCTCGAATATAGTGTAAATGTACAGAAAAAAATAACATTTTGTGAAGCGGACAACGTGTGCAGATACTTTTAAGCCTAAATAAACATTTAAAGTGTATTATGTGCGTGTACAGATACGTCAGATAATTTTAGTTCTAGAGTACAGTGTAAATGTGCAGGAAAAAAAACATTTTTGTGGAGCAGCCAGTGTGTACAAACACGTTTAACAATTTTAAATCTCAACTACAGTGTGATTATACAGACAAAATAACATTTTTGTGAAGCAGACAACGTGTGCCGATACTTTTAATAATTGTCGTTTTAGAGTGTAGTGTGAATGTGCAGAAAAACAGAATATTTTTGTGAAGCGGACCACGTGTACAGATACTTTTAATAATTTTGGTTTTTGAGTACAGTGTAAATGTGTAGAGCAAAAAAATTTTTTTATGAAGCGGACAGTTATCTTGATTTTTCAAGTGGGCTCTATTTTTTATATATTGAATAGACTGAGTTATCGACCATAATGGCGAAAAAAAAGAATACGGAATATGTCAGAGCATTTTGTGAGCGACAATGTGCTAATAAACCACCAAAATCGACGCCAAAAACTGCAAGTGAAACGTCCAGAGAGTATGGGGCGCGAAAAAAAGCATTGCTGAATGCAGCACGTGCGGGTGACTTGTCACGAGACTCTGCACAACCGAGACTGTCCATCCGCCAGAAGTATTACGAGACCCTCTAATACCGACTCAGTCACAACAAAATGTTGAAGTGAATTCAAACAATAGAAGTGCCTCACTGATGATGGAGAGAACTGTGCCGTCCAGTAATTTTGCAGCCCATGAACGCGTACGGAAGGAATTCCAAAAACAATAATCAAATAATCCATTCGGGCGTGTGTGTAACATTTGTGACCGTCTGTGGTTTCAATCTGACTTAAAAACTGTACTTGGGTCACATCATCGACTACTGCAAGCAGAATTTTCGGGGGTGGACGTGTCAGATTTTAAAGCTTGCCACTCTCACTTTCACTTTCATCCTCTTTGCATGAAAATCCAGTATTTCACGAATGAGAACGGGTCTAAAATTCGCATGTGCCAACCATGCTACTCCAGCAGGGGTTTAACATCTCTTCTCCCTCTCATACGGACCCGCAACCACTCAGCTAGCTCCACCAGCTCCACATCCTCCAGATCTGGGGTGATAAGCCCTCGCACAGCTAGCCCGTCATCGCGGCAACCACACACTCTCCCCCCTGCCACCGTTCAAAATGCAGCAGCTGCCCAGATTGATCCGGCCATCGCCAGTATTTTGGAGACTTTGGCGTCGATCAACAAGCGCACTGAACACCTTGACATGCTTCCTGGTAAGTTCGACTCTGTCTGTGCCGAGTTCGCTGATGTTAAGGCCAAGCTATCAGCTTTGGACCTATTGCCTCCTCTCGTTAAGCGTGTGGATGATGTTGAATCTACTGTGGCTGGGCACACTGAGGAAATTCAAAGTTTGAAACAAACCGTTGCTGAGCTTGTTGAGAAGTCCAATGCTCCCCTCCCTCTGGCACCAGTGGCACCACTACCGCCACTTGATACCAATACAATGCAACGCGTTGTTGCTGGCTTCCCGGAGAGTGAGGCTCTCACTGATCCTCTTCCTTTGGCTTTGGCTGTACTTCATACTGTCAAACAGGATCTTGACCCCACCGCTGTTTCCAACGTGCGGTTCTTGAGGAAATCAGGGAATCGTGCTGACGCAGCCTTTCTACCAGTGGCACAGGTGCGACTGTGACTCGCTCACGGGTGTCCATTGGCATTAAACTCACANCGACTGTGACTCGCTCACGGGTGTCCATTGGCGTTAAACTCACATCCCCAGGCTTACTACGCAACATCATCGACGCCAAGAGGGCGAGAGGGAAAGTTTCGTTCTCGAATGTTGATCACGCCACCCTTACTGCCTTGTCTACCCCCGTCAGTGCGACTGGTGAGGATTTCCAAGTCAACATCGCCGAGCTGATCCCTTCGAAGGTCTATCGACTCTTGGGCATGGCCAGAGCAGTTCTCAAGCGCTCTGGTTTCAGATACATTTGGGTAAGGAATGAGGTTGTCTTTGCAAAGTTCAAAGAGGGTGATTTGGTGTATATCATCAACTCCCATGCTGACATCGACAGAATCACCAGTCTCCATTCCATTCCTAGCTCCTGACCCCTTGACCCCACCCCAGCAACATTCCTTCAGCGACAACGACCGGCCCCTCTCCTTGACCCCGTGATCTCCGCGACCCTCCCGATTCCTGACACCTCCTCCAACCCCCTCCTGAGATCCTCCCCTGTCGACCAATTCCACGCCTACTGCCTCAATGTCAATTCCCTTCGCTGTCGTCTGGATACCATCAAAAGTTTCCTCCACTCTCAGCCTTTAACTTACCACATCATTGTCATCACTGAATCTTGGCTGTCACCCTCTATTCCGAGCTCTGTACTGAATATTCCCAACTACAGTCTCCTGAGATATGATCGTAACGTGAATGGTGGCGGTGTTGCCATCTACTACCATGCCTCCGTAAATGCCTCGGTCATCTCCTTCTCTACCTCCGTCTGGACAGAGCCCCCCGGACATGTTGAGTATCTCTTCTGTGAGGTTTTGGTGCCAAACTCCTCTCCGATCTTTGTTGCTGCTATCTACAGGCCACCACACTCCCCTTTTCATGTTCCTGTCAACTTCACGGGGCTCTTGTCTACCTTCTTGGATGGCTACTCCCATAAGATCATCATGGGTGACTTCAATGCTGATCAATTGTCTGAGCGTGCTGATGCTGTATATATTCGAACTCTAATGAGTGATCTCTCCCTGAAACTGGTTGACAACGGTATAACCCACACTACTCTCACGTCTTCAACATGGCTGGATCTTTGTCTTACGGATGAGTGTGACTCTATCACTGGCTGGTTTACCTCGGAAGTTCCTATGGCTGCTGGGCATCACCTCATCTCTGCCTCCATATCAATCAATGGGTGCAAACCACGGGCCACCACTATCTCTACCCGCCAGTTATCAGCTCTTCAATGGGTTGATGTCGTTGGGGACTTTGAGAGCACGCTCCAGAGTGCCCTCGCCTCCGACTTCGGCACCGATGATCTTGCCGCGACCTTCACTAATGTCTTCCTGGCACTAGTCGAAGCCCATGCCCCTCTGCGTCAGGTGAAGGTGAATGCCATCAAGACTGCCCCCTGGCTCTCTGATGACCTCAGGCTGTCTGATAAGCATGTGCAACATCTCTACAGACGATTCAAGCGGAATCGCTCTCAGGAGAGGCTGGTTGATTTCCGTCTGGCTAGAAGTCTGCATCAATCCCTGCTCTTGAAGGCTCGCGTCAAGTACTACCACACTCGCTTATCTGGACTCACGGGCGCATCACTGTGGAGAGAGCTACGCAGCCTTGCGCTGATAGCTGGTTCGTCCAAAAGCCTCACCATCTCAACTGACGATCTCAACGCCCATTATTCTGCGGTTTCAATTGTATCTTCTGAGGATCCGCTGCTGCCGCCATCAAGAACTGTCTTCACTGATGCATTGTTCCCCTTCTCGCAGGTGAGCTGGCTTGACATCAAGACTGCTATCTCATCCATCAAATCCGATGCAGTCGGCGCAGACTGCATTTCGAGAAGATGATTTTAAACACCCTACCAGCCCTGGTTGAGAGTCTCACCTCTCTCTTCAATCGTTCGTTGCTAAATAGTGTCTTCCCCGCAGCTTGGAAGCGGGCCATCATTGTCCCTGTGTGCAAAGTGAGTTCTCCTAAGTCACCGACAGACTATCGTCCTATTGCTCTCCTGCCCTTCCTTGCGAAAGTTCTCGAGCGTCTGGCCTTCAAGCAACTGTCTCTACATCTCCAAACGCACGACTTGTTGAGTCCTCGCCAATGTGGATTCAGATCCGGCCACAGCACACAGACAGCCCTGCTTAGGCTCATGAATGACGTGAGACGTGGCGTAGAAGAGCGGAAAATAACTGTCTTGGTACTCTTTGACTTCTCAAAAGCGTTCGACACTATCTCTCATCCGATACTCCTGGCCAAATTAGGCACTCTGGGACTCTCGGCTGATGCTGTCGCTTGGTTTCGATCTGACCTTGTCGGCCGCTCCCAAGCGGTGAAAGACGAGAATGGACTCTCTGCTTTCTGCAATACCAATGCAGGAGTANTGGCGACTCCATTCATGAGGCGCAGCACCTCCTTTATGCGGATGATCTCCAAATTTACTTGAGCTGTGAACCATCGGAACTAGACATGTGTATTCAACGTCTTAATGCTGACATCTCCCGGATTCAACGCTGGGCTGCGGCTAATCTACTCCAGCTCAACGTAAATAAAACCAAGGCCATCATCATGGGTGCAAGGCGCTACATCAATGCTATTGACGTACCTGCCCTGCCGCAGCTTGGTTGTCAAGGTTCTGCCATTGAGATAGTAAGCAGTGTCAGGAATTTGGGAGTTTTCATCGACAGTAAGTTGACCTTTGCTTCCCACATACAACGTGTGGACTCCAAGATCAACACTGCTCTCTACCAACTCTACAGTCTGCGTGATTACACTGATGCTCCACTGCGTAAGATGCTGGCGAATGCCCTTATTTTTCCCCACATTTTTTACTGTCTTGCAGTTCTGTAAGGTGTGGACTCAGTACGGGACCTGCAACTCCAGCGCATGATCAATAGAGCTGTGAGGTTTGTGACAGGTCTTCCCCGAGATGCGCCGATTTCGGAAGCTCGGCGGAGTCTGGGCTGGCTCTCTATCTCTGGGTACAGAACGGTAGTCATAGCCTCCGTAATGTATCAGGTACAGAGCACTGGTACCCCGCAGTATCTTGCTGACCTCTTTGCTGTCTACACGTCTACCAGACCTCGACGACAGGCACTGGCACAGCTCGCCCTGGTTGTGCCCAACTATCGCACCGACACCTATAAAGCAGCACTGGCTGTTGCTGGTCCGGAGACCTGGAATAGCATCCCTGTCAACATCCGAGAACTCACGTCACCCACGTCCTTCAAGGGGCACTTGAAGCGCTGGCTCCTCGACAATGAGCAGCACGGCTGAACGGCTCATCCTGAACTTTCCTATGTTTTCGGTCTCTTTTTAATCTGTACCGTTCAGATCGCAATGTTCATCTTGTTTTTTTTCTCTGATTACTGCTCTATCTATTCTCTATTGTCCATTCTCAGTAATTACTGCTCCTCCTATGTTTCACTCTGTATAACTTTTGTTTAAATTCCTAAACAATAAACATATATCTTATCTTATCTTATCTCTTGCTTTGCTTCATTGAATCGAAATCGTGTTCCCACATATTCAACGTCAAATGGATTTAAATACCTGGAGAAACCTGCGCATTTGCCGGATTTGGATTTGCTATCAGAGAGACTAATTTCTCCAAGAATCCCGTTTATGCAAATCAGAAGACTGCGACGTACGACTGGTCAGTACGGCATTCTTGGGCAAGTAATCAATGTCCCTGTGCACGTGAATTTAATGGTTAATATGCTTCCAAGGGAAGTTAGTGATGATGATTGTATTAACATACACATCAAACGAAAATTGATACATAAATCAAGTTATTTGGTTGGTCTTGTTAACAAAGCAAATATCAAAATTTGGCTGCAGTATTTATGTGACACACCATTGTATAAATTCTACGGTATCAAAATAGATGATGCTTTCTTCAATCAAACTGCGGAGAATCCGATTCCAATTGATGAAGTCAGTGAAGAAATACCCACTGAAGACTGTCTTACTAGGCAGCAGCATACGTTAATGTGGAATGAGGATAAATACTTAGGAATAGCACCAGGTGAAAAAAATGTTCCTCATAGTTTGCTTTTCGATGAACATGCTGAAGAATTGTCTTTTCCAGCAATTTATCTCGGACATTTTCGAGTATTCAAAGAAGGATTGCATGTTACATCATTTATGATGGCCATAACAATAAAAAAAATTTATGATGGCCACAAGTGAGGTGAGACGCGCCGATCGTCGTGGGGTCACTCCACATCACTTACTATATGTGGCCATGAAGATCATGCGACAAAGAGTTCGTGATTCTTTGACAGTAGCCTTCAAACATATTGAAAACAATGCGAACATAACTAAAGAGCAGATTGAGTCTGAGCAATACATTAATCAGTCGATCGAAACCAATCTAGCTTTCTTGAAATGCATTCCAAATTCAGCTTACTACTGGGCTGACAGACAGAAAGATTTATTCGCGATGATCAGGCAATATGGAAAACCGACTCTTTTGATAACTTTGAGTGCTAATGAAACCGGAAGGATTGATTTGATAAAATTATTGTGGAAATTGAAAAACAACGGAAGGGAACTGTCAGATGAAATACTAGAACAAATAACCTATATTCAGAAATGTACATTGGTAAATGAAGATGCAGTGGTATGCGCCATTTACTTCAATAAACTTGTAAATGTTATTCTAAATCTACTGCAATCCAAGAAAGCAAATCCCTTCCGAGAGTATCGCGTGATTCACTATTTCAAGAGAATTGAGTTCCAGCATCGTGGGAGCCCTCATGCTCACATTTTACTATGGATCGACAATGCTCCAGAAGATCCACTTTACGTCAGTAAAGGTGAGGCCATTGCCATGATTAATAAATTGATCTCAGTATCGGCGAAGGAAGCATCTGAGAGTATCAATCTTCAAAAGCATAAACATACATTTACTTGTTACAAGAGGGCAGTAGCTAACAAACCTCAGAAATGCCGTTTCGAGGCTCCATTCATGCCATGTAAGCAGACAGTGATTCTCATTCCGATGAAGGACGACGAGGCAGATTTCTAGGAGTATCAGCAGCATTATCGGAGAATAAGGGAGAATTTAGAGACGAATGACTACGTCGAGATGGAAGCTTTCTACCATAACAATAATATACGTTCAGACGAACATTATTTGAATATTCTTCGAGCGGGCACAACTCGACCAAGAGTTTTTCTAAAGCGTTCACCTTCTGAAAAGTGGCACCACGGATTCAATCCATTTATTTTGAACGTGTTACAATCGAATATGGATATACAGTATATATTGGATGAATATTCTTGTGCAGCGTACGTAGTGGAATATGTGAATAAAACAAACAGGGGGATCAGTAATTTGCAACATCAAATACTTCAGATAATGGATGATAATTCTCAATTTGATATTGTTGAAATCACGAGAAAAATGAGTGTGAACATATTGAATACGGTTGAAATTAGCTCAGCAGTTATCGTCTTCATTCCAACGATGTGGCCTGTCGAACGCCCAAGAATCCGTAAGACATGTGAAGAGATGGAGAAATTACGCCTAGAAGACGAGTCAACGGATATTTGGAAGGAAAATTGGTTTGACAAATACTAAAGAAGACCAGAGACTCTGGAAGAATGTACACTTGCACAATTTGCTGCTTATTATAATGTCAGTAATGAGAAATTTTCAAAAAGAAGAGAGTCACGTATTATCCGGTACAGAAATTACGATATGGGTACGGATCTGAACGAGGACAAACGAGAAATGGTTACATTACACATTCCATTTCGTAATGAAGAGTAATGAAATATTAGCAGAATTTAAATTTGTTAAAATTTATGACGACAACGAGCAATTGATTCTCAATAGACGAAAACAATTTGAATCTAATTTAGATATTCAAAAGACAATTGAAATTTACAAAGAGTTATGTCGAGAGAACGATGAGGCAAGTGATGATGTTCCATTGGAGATATTGGTAGGGAGAGGAGCAGCGCCTGATCCGTTGCAAGACATCCAGAACCGGGAAGTCAATCGTGATCTGCAACTGGCAGCAGTCCATAAACTCGGAGCGATTGCAAAACGGAGAGGAAACCTGATGCCAAACGAACAATATTATGAGTTAATGAGAATGGCTAATGATAAATAGAGAGATCTGTTGATGCATGTAATTCATAATCTGCTCTCAGATTCTTCTGCTCCGTTCCAAATTTTCTTAACTGGTCCTGCAGGTTATGGGAAAACATTCATGATTCGTCTTTCAATGGAAATTTATAATCGATATTCTACAACCGACGGTTACTGTAATGCATATATTATATGTGCATCAACATGGAAAGCTGCTGTTGCTATCGACGGGACTACAATTCATACTGCTTTAAAAATATCTCTTTCGAAAATTTTACCATTGCCCATCGAACTTGTACAACAATATCGAACATTGTTCAAGTACATCAAAGTGTTGATAATTGACGAAATAAGCATGGTCAGTGCTGAACTTCTATGACATATTGATGCTCGTTTAAAACAAATAACAAGCAATTATCGAGTGAATTTCGGAGGGATTGATGTGATTTTAATTGGAGATTTGAGTCAGTTACCGTCAGTGAGGGCAACACCGATTTATAAACAAGTAAAAAGAGCGATTGCAGGTCCAACTCTATGGCGCGAAACCAAATTTTATGAATTGGATGAAGTAATGAGACAGTCCAATAGAATGTTTTCTGAGATATTGACTAAAATTGGTAATGGTGTGCCATTGGAAGAAAATGAATTGCACTTAATAGAATCACGATTTTTCACAAGAGACGAAGCCATGAGATTGTGCCCTGACGGAATCCGTTTATTCCTAGCCAATAAATCAGTGCATGAGTATAATTTGTCAATTTTGAACTCTGCAGACCACAAAGTTACCTCGGTAGCAAGCGATATTTTCGTCGGTTGCCAAAGTACAGAGCAGGAGGCTGCTTCCAGACAAAAACTACATAAAATGTCAGTTATAGATACTGGTGGCTTACCATACGAAATTATTTTCGTGTTGAATAATTCATACATGATTACTACGAATGTTGATGTCGCAGATGGCCTACCCAATGGCGCAATGGGTAAACTGGTGCACATTCAATATGATACCGATGGGGAAGTTATACGTATATGGCTGGAATTCCCAAATTCACCAAAAGTTGGAGAAAAATTGAGGAGAAAAGTCAGCGCCCACGTTCAGGAGAATAATATCAGTCGATTAGCAGTGCCCATACTTCGACGAACTTCAACCGTTTACATGAATCGTAGTAAAGCCATAGCAGCAAAGAGGACTCATTTTCCAGTTGTATCATGTTCAGCAGTTACTATCCATAAATCTCAAGGAGGTACATTTGATGAAATCGTTTATGAGTACGAGAAATCTCACTCTCAGCAGTTGTTATATGTGGCATTGTCCAGAGTTACTACCATAAATGGACTTTACATCGTTACACCCGATAATGATCAAAAATTTTATCATGGGCGCAGACCGTCAACATCAAGAACAGATTTGCAAGCTGAACTCAGCCATCTCCGCCTCAATCGATTAGAAACCGTAGGACAACAAATAATCGATTTTATGTCAGAACGAAAGGTTATATCGATATTCACATTGAATTGCCAGAGGTTGAGAAAACACGCAGCAGATTTGAGAAATGAAGTGGTACGAAAGTCATCAATACTGGTACTGAGTGAAACATGGATGCAGTCAAGTGAACCTGTGGATATACCTAATTTTGATTGCATCGTCTCATTCAAACGAGAAGAACGAAGAGCTGGTGGTGTTGCTATCTATCGAAACTCACTTAACAGGTCGATTGCAGTAACTCCGCATCTATTGATTAACCTACGTCAAATGGATACAATGACTGTTAGTTCATGCAGTATTGGAGATACTTGTTCAGCAAGATGTCGCCTTGAAAATGGACAGTTGATACTGATAGTTGCTATCTACATATCGCCCAATCAGAAAATGGACGATATTATTGGATTCATCCACCATGTACTGCTCTCATACACCCCAGCAGGAGCAGCACTACTTTAAAAAGACTGGGGAAGTCTACCGATGATTTTGAGTGGTGACTTTAATGTCGACTTCGCAAAACCTCAAGCTCAGCCCTTAATCGATTTTTTAGAAGAAGAATTCTCTTTAAGACTCACCAGTGATAAAAACATGTCAACTACAAAATTCGGTACCACGATTGACGCTGTTTTCAGTAGATTTTTAGAAAATATCAAGTCACAAACGTTCGTTTCATATTTTAGCTACCACAAACCT